GTGGGAAGCAGGTGACTGAGGAGTCGTGATGGTACATCAGGAAAAAAGTAGAGCCCAAGGGGTGCTGGGAGTTTATATAGGGCGCCTGGTGTTTATATGTGACCCCTGGGTGGAGCTGGAAAGTGGGTGGTGAGCCGTATGGACACCTGGGGAGAGTTAGCCAGGCGGAGATTCCCATGACCGTGGGAGGCTGTGAGAGTGGGAGCCTGGGGGCACAGGCACCTGGGATCTGACTCTCAGGAGTCCAGAGGGCAGAGTAGAGGGCCACAGCCAGGACCAGAGCGGCAGTTCCCGGGCTGAGGGGCGGAGAGCAGGGAGAGCTGAGAATGTCAGGGTGGAGGAGAGAGGAGGCGGTGTGATGGGGCTGTGCTGGGGGCCATGGGCGCAGGGAAGCTCACTGTGCCACCAGCCTGGCGGGCATGGTGTGGGTGGGTGGCGGGCTGTGGTGTCCTCCAGCTCTGTGCCACTGTGCAGATACAGGCTGGGATTGATTGGTAGAGAGTTGGTTTTTAAAAACTTTTAGGTTTTGTTTGTTTGTTTGTTTTTTGTTTTTGAGACGGAGTCTCGCTCTGTCACCCAGGCTGGAGTACAGAGGTGTGATCTCTGCTCACTGCAAGCTCTGCCTCCTGGGTTCACACCATTCTCCTGCCTCCGCCTTCTGAGTAGCTGGGACTACAGGTGCCCGTCACCACGCCCACCTAATTTTTTGTATTTTTAGCAGAGATGGGGTTTCACCGTGTTAGCCAGGATGGTCTCGATCTCCTGACCTCGTGATCCGCCCGCCTCAGCCTACCAAAGTGCTGGAATTACAGGCGTGAGCCACCGCGCCCGGCCTAAAAACTTTTAGTTTTTTAAAGACAGGGTCTTGCTGTGTTGCCCAGGCTGGAGTGCAGTGCACTCAGTTGCTCACTGCAGCCTTGATTTCCCCAGCCCAAGCAATGCTCCCACCTCAGTCACTCACTGCAGCTTTGACCTCCCCAGCCCAAGCAATCCTCCCACCTCAGCGTCTTGAGTAGTTGGAATCACAGGCTCATGCCATCACATCAGCTCTTTTTTTTTTTTTTGTAGAGACCAGGTTTCCGTGTGTTGCCTGGGCTGGTCTCAAACTCCTGGGCTCAAGTGATCATCTCACGTTGGCCTCCCACAGTGCTGGGATTCCCCTGTGTCCAGCCTTGAAGTACAGCTTTCTTTTTTTTCTTCTTTTTCTGAGACAGAGTCTCGCTCTTGTTGCCAAGGCTGGAGTGCAGTGGTGTGATCTCAGCTCGCTGTAGTCTCTGCCTCCCGGGTTAAAGCGATTCCCCTGCCTCTGCCTCCCAAGTAGCTGGGATTATGGGCACCCACCATCACACCCGGCTAATTTTTGTATTTTTAGCAGAGACAGGGTTTCACCATGTTGGTCAGGCTGGTCTCAAACTCCTGGGCTCGAGCAATCCTTCCGCCTTGGCCTCCCACAGTGCTGGGATTCAGGTGTGTGCTTCCGTGCCCAGCCCTGAAGTCCAGATTTCTTGAGGCTTAAGGGGTGCATGTCCATGTTCCCCGAAATCCGGATGTTGAAATCCTCACCCTCAAGGGGATGGGATGAATATTTGGAGGTGGGGCCTTTGGGAGGTGATTAGGTCATGGCGGCAGTGCCTCATGAATGGAATTAAGTGCCCTTATGAAAGAGGTATCAGAGAGGAAGCCAGCCCCTTCGACCATGCATAGATACAACCAGAAGAGCCATCTGTGAACCAGGAGGTGGCCTTACCAGACACTGAATCTGCCGTCCCTTGATCTTGGACTTCTGCCTCCAGGACTGTGAGGAATAAATGTTTTTGATAAGCCTCCGTCCTAAGCCTGTGGGACCTGGCTGCCCGGCCTCTCCTGGCTCCCGGGGACCCTGGCTCTGTTTGTCTGCCGTGCGCACATCCCACACGGCCAGCACCACTGGGAGTAGCTGCTGCCCCTGGCATGTCTTTGCACAGAAGTGGTCACATCTGGGGCCGTGCAGGCTTGTGGCTCCTTCAAGCTGCCCATGAGAGCCATCTGTGCCGGCTGGGATGGGAAAGTCCTTTCCTTGCTAGACATTTTCTGTGGCCGTGTCAGGCTGGGTGCTGTTCATGTGACCCTGGAGACAGGTGCTGTGTGGAACAGGAAGAGAGTGAGGTCCTGGTGCTTGCTAGGGGAGGCCCAGAGGTGGGAGGATCTATAGCGACAAGGGTCCCTGTGGCGTGAAAGCCTTCAGGTCCTCTAGCAGAGCTGCCTGGGTTCCGAGGTGGGAGAACCTGGAGGTCATGTGGTTCCCGTGCCTGCACCAGGCCCCGTCCTCATGATGTGGCCAGGTGCTCACAGCTCGACACTGCTGTGTTGGCTGAGGTGGGACCCCGTGTGTACGTGGCCTGTCTGTGGATGGGTGTCTTTTTTTGGGGTCACAAACCCAACTTTTAACTTAATCCCTTTATGGGAAGCAGCGAAGGATTTCCTTTTAATTTTATCATGTTTGGGAATGTTATCACAGGATGCAGTGCCGTGGACTTAAGTGTTAACTGAGAGGTTCTGAGGTGTGGCAGAGGAGCCCTAGAACTCTAAGGCAGAAAAGCAGAGGGGCTGCTGTGCCTGGACCCTGTGGGACAGCCATGTCCTTGTCACAGGGTGGCCTTTTGTGTTCTCACAGACCAGGAGTCTCTGGGAGGTTAGGGAGCTTGCTGGGTACCTGGCAGGACACCCCTCCTGTGCCCCATCCTCTGCAGGGCCCTGTGTCCCGCCTGCACGGCCAGCGTGTGGAAGCAGACACGTAATGGCCTCCAAGCCGCTATCTGCCAAGCAGCTCCCTGACATTTCATGGGGCAGGGAAGAGAGCCCTGTGGCATTTCCCTTAGTGCCCTCCATACAGACCCTCAAGTTGCCACCATGCCCAGTGGCTTTCCTGCTTCCAGGGAGGGAGGCCCCCCTCTGGATGTCTCCCTGGACCACGCCACACTCCAGAGCTTGGCTTAGGGGCTCCGGTCCTGTGTCTGAGCCCTGGACCACGCCACACTCCAGAGCTTGGCTTAGGGGCTCCGGTCCTGTGTCTGAGCCCTGGACCACGCCACACTCCAGAGCTTGGCTTAGGGGCTCCGGTCCTGTGTCTGAGCCCTGGACCACGCCACACTCCAGAGCTTGGCTTAGGGGCTCCGGTCCTGTGTCTGAGCCCTGGACCACGCCACACTCCAGAGCTTGGCTTAGGGGCTCCGGTCCTGTGTCTGAGCCCTGGACCACGCCACACTCCAGAGCTTGGCTTAGGGGCTCCGGTCCTGTGTCTGAGCCCTGGACCACGCCACACTCCAGAGCTTGGCTTAGGGGCTCCGGTCCTGTGTCTGAGCCCTGGACCACGCCACACTCCAGAGCTTGGCTTAGGGGCTCCGGTCCTGTGTCTGAGCCCTGGACCACGCCACACTCCAGAGCTTGGCTTAGGGGCTCCGGTCCTGTGTCTGAGCCCTGGACCACGCCACACTCCAGAGCTTGGCTTAGGGGCTCCGGTCCTGTGTCTGAGCCCTGGACCACGCCACACTCCAGAGCTTGGCTTAGGGGCTCCGGTCCTGTGTCTGAGCCCTGGACCACGCCACACTCCAGAGCTTGGCTTAGGGGCTCCGGTCCTGTGTCTGAGCCCTGGACCACGCCACACTCCAGAGCTTGGCTTAGGGGCTCCGGTCCTGTGTCTGAGCCCTGGACCACGCCACACTCCAGAGCTTGGCTTAGGGGCTCCGGTCCTGTGTCTGAGCCCTGGACCACGCCACACTCCAGAGCTTGGCTTAGGGGCTCCGGTCCTGTGTCTGAGCCCTGGACCACGCCACACTCCAGAGCTTGGCTTAGGGGCTCCGGTCCTGTGTCTGAGCCCTGGACCACGCCACACTCCAGAGCTTGGCTTAGGGGCTCCGGTCCTGTGTCTGAGCCCTGGACCACGCCACACTCCAGAGCTTGGCTTAGGGGCTCCGGTCCTGTGTCTGAGCCCTGGACCACGCCACACTCCAGAGCTTGGCTTAGGGGCTCCGGTCCTGTGTCTGAGCCCTGGACCACGCCACACTCCCAGAGCTTGGCTTAGGGGCTCCGGTCCTGTGTCTGAGCCCTGGACCACGCCACACTCCAGAGCTTGGCTAGGGCTCCGGTCCTGTGTCTGAGCCCTGACCACGCCACCTCCAGAGCTGGCTTAGGGCTCCGGTCCTGTGTCTGAGCCCTGGACCACGCCACACTCCAGAGCTTGGCTTAGGGCTCCGGTCCTGTGTCTGAGCCCTGGACCACGCCACACTCCAGAGCTTGGCTTAGGGCTCCGGTCCTGTGTCTGAGCTGTTGCAAATGGGAAAGGGCCCCCTGGGTCTTGGCTGAAGTTCTTGCCGAAAAGTAAGTGGTGGTGAGGTTTGCGAAGATGGCTGCAGTCGAGGCTGCCGAAAGGCAGGAGGGCCTGAGCTTCAGGAGCAGGGACAGGATGCATGCCTGTGGCTTGGAATAAAAATGTCTGAGGCCAGCCTTCAAGTACTTGTGAGGCCAAGGCAGGCAGATCACGAGGTCAGGAGATCGAGACCATCCTGGCCAATATGGTGAAACCCTGTCTCTACTAAAAATACAAAAAAAATAAATAAATAAACTAGCTGGGCATGGTGGCGGGCACCTGTAGTCCCAGCTACTCGGGAGGCTGAGGCAGGAGAATGGCGTGAACCCAGGAGGTGGAGCTTGTAGTGAGCTGAGATAGTGCCACTGCACTCCAGCCCGGGCAACAGAGCGAGACTCTGTCTAAAAAAAAAAAGGTCCGTTTAGTGTTAACAACTCTTTTAAAAAGATAAAACATTTTTTAAAAAATTTAAAAATGTGCATTTACTCAGTTGAATTTTGTTAGGTTTTAATACAACTGTGCTTATTTTAATCACGAGAAAGAAAACACTGGGGAAAGGCAGAATGTGCTGCAGTGATGAAAATGCAGGGATGTTATTGCCAAATTCTCATGTGTCAGTCACGGTATTGAAACTGCTCTTTCCTGTCACTTGCAGTATTCTGCCGAAACCCTGAACAGCAGCGGTCGTCTGTTCCCTTTGGAGCTCAATGGTGAGTGCTTTAGGAGCCGTGGCTGGAGGCCTGAGCAGGGCTGGGACCAGGCTCCTGGGCTGGGAGGGTCCTGGACGCAGAACATGAGCCTGATCTGCGGAAGCCAGGAAAGTGTTCGTGTGCCCTGCACTGGGGCATGGAGTGGTCCCTGCTGCTGTCCCCGCACGGCTGGGCCAGTGGTCAAGAGTGGTCTGTGAGCAGGACGGCTCGTGTAGAGTGCAGGCCCAACCAGGTCTCTCCCTCCTCAGCTGGTGGGCCCAGGGGTCTGCTGCGCCCTTTCTGGAAGGTGCAAGGCCCACCCTGTGGCCACTAAAAGAACAGGATGGTGTGGCCGGCAGGGCTTGTAGTGTCAGCTGGAGCGTGCCGTGGCATACCGGGCAGCCCACCTGCTGTCTGTGCCGTGGAGGGCGTGGCTGTGCCTGGCTCACCTGCAGGTGGGCCCTTCATTGATGGGGAGCAGGTGCTCCGAATATGGGGGCTGGCGGTGTTCATGGACCAGGTAACCCTGGGGTCCCAGGTCCTCCCCCAGCGAAGGTCCCAGGGCATCTCTGTTGGCCCTGCTGACCCGACTGTGACGCGCCCAGCGCCCTGTGTCACACAGAGTAGGCCCATTAGGAGGATCACCTTGCTGAGCGCCAGATTACCAAAGTGAAGGTGTTTTACCAGATTCTTTTACAAGTAGATGGAAGTAGGAAGTGTGAGGCCCCAGATGGCCTGAGCCCCACCCTCTGCCTAGCCTGTGGTGTGATGTTCTCACATCAGCCTCCTGGGGTTCATCCTGCACACGGGGCCAAACCAGCTACCTCCATCCTGGCTCAGAGCTCCACAGGGCTTCCTACACTCCTCACCTGGTCGGCCGCTCTCCTTGCCTACACCTCCACACCTCCTCCCCACAGCCCCCATCTCTCTCCTGGCCGCCCCAGAGTCACCCCAGGGCCTTTCCCCCTGTGAGGCAGGTCTCACAGTCTCCACTCCAAGTTTCTCAGCTGGATAGTGACTGCACAAGCCACTGGGGGAGTCCTGGGGGTCCAGATGACCCCGCCCAGGCGGATTCCATGCCAGGCCCATGCACCTGGCCTTGCTTTCAAGGCTTCTCCAAACCAGGTGGCAGGGGGACTGGGGAGTATGTCAGGCGGGCGGCCCCGGGACAGTTGCACAGGAAGTGAGACTTGAGGAGGGGCTCCAGGCCTGGACCTGGTGGCTCTGAGGTTTTTGAGGAGTTCCTGGGGCTCAGACTCTCCCTGAAGACCCTGGCAGCATGTGTGACCTTGTGTTGCCCATGTTACCGAGGGACCTGAGCTGCTTTAAGAAGGGGCTCTGGAGAGTCCTGGCCAGGGAAGCTGCACATCCTTGAGATGCCTGGTCACAGAGGGGGGGAGTGTTTTGCGGATGCAGGAAGAATGTTTTAGCAAAGGCTGTTGGGAGAGCAGAGCCATGCAGTTCTCAGGGAGGCACTGGTGGGGAGACTGACACCTCCTTCAGACACGGCGTCCCCTTAAAGAAGCGAGCCGAGCCCTGCAGCTAACCTGGCAAGGGCAGGCGGGCCTGGTGCCCACTGTGCGCCATGGACATCTCGGAGAAGCACGTCCAGGGGTGATGGCAAGGGGCTGTGCCCTTGATGGCTTTGCCAGGCTGTTTACCAGGACAGATGTCACCCCACATGGTGGGAAGAGGCTAGGCCTGCTCTGTGGCTCACCTGTCTCTTCCACTGCCACTTTGTGTCTTTTCTGGTAGACCAGAGTCCCTGGAAGGTCTTAAGTGGAGGACGGCCCGTTGGAAGCCAGGCAGCCACGAGACCTGATTTCTGCTTCCTGCCAGGCCTGTCTGCTGCTGCTCACACCATGGGTCTTCAGTGGCGGCCAGAGTCCCCGGGCCCAGGTGTGGGCCTGGGCGCAGCCAGCACTGTGGACCCCAGTGAAAGTACAGGCTCGTCCACGGCCCCACCGACCAAGCGACATTGCCGGTCCCTGTCAGAACCTGAGGAGCTGGTGCGCTGCCGGTCCCCCTGGCGCCCTGGCAGCTCCACGGTCTGGACTCCAGTCTCCAAGAGGCGGTGCAACAGCGGTGGGAGCGCAACATTGCAGGGAAGCCCCGGCGCCGTCCTGCCGAGGAGTGCCGCGTGGTTGACCGGTCCCACCTCACCCGCCACGCCCCGGCCGTCCTCGGCCAGCAGCGGCTTCGTGGACAGCAGCGAGGGCAGTGCAGGCTCAGGCCTGCCCTGGTGTTCCGCAGAGCCCTACTTGCTCTCCGTGAGGCGACGCCTGTCCCTCTCACAGGAGCAACTCGCAGGTGTGGGCACTCCCCTGCCCTCGGCCAGCAGCAGCCCCACGTCCACGCCTGAGCTGGGCCGGCACCGTGGGCTGCTCCGGTGCCGCTCACAGCCCTGCGTGCTCAGTGGGAAGAGGAGCCGGCGCAAACGGAGGCGTGAGGAGAACGCCAGGTGGACACGCCCATCCTTGGACTTCCTAAAAATGACCCGGGTGAGGCTTTCTTGTTCCCAAGGGCTCAGAGGGGCATAGATCTGGACGTGGCAGTGCTGGGGTGAGGCTGGCTGATTCTCTGGGAAGCAGCTGCTATCATCCAGCTGGTCTCCTCTGGGCTGGGAGGAAAGGAGTGAGGAGAGCCGTCCGGAGTGGGTGGGAGTGATCGGGGCCTGTCCCAGTGTCAGAACACCCAGCTTACCCTGCCTGCCCCCACAGAGGCAGAGCCCCACACACGGCCCAGGGTGGCTAGCCAGGCTCGCACGGTGTGGCCTGGGGGAAGCAGCAGAACAGAGCTGTGGGTTTCTGGCCTAGCTAAGCCACCCGCCTCAGCTGCTGGGGAGCCCCCTGACTTTTTCTGGCGTGGTGATGGCTCAGGAAGTAAGAGGCTGTCCTGGGAGCCCCATTCGAGGCAGAGCCTGGGGTCCTCTCTTGTGGGAGCCGGTGGGTGTCCATGCTGCAGCTCAGAGCCCAGCAGGGCCTGTGCACTTGGGACTCTACAGGCACCTCCTGCAGAAACTGTCTGGATGTAGGAGAGAGCCTGCACCCACTTGAAGATTCTCAGTGCTGCCCACCTGCTCACCTCTCCACCTGCCGTCACAGGCTGTGGTTGGCACAGAGTTAAGGAAGGGAACAGGACTGAGGAGGCTTTCCCAGGTCTCGCTCTGTGTTACTAAGGGGGTGCGTTCACCAGAGACCTCTGGGGGCCCTGGCAGCGCGCGGGGAGGGAGATAGCAGAGCCGTGACAGAGTAGGGTGGGCTCTGTGCACACTCACTGGGTTGTCTGTGTTTGGGAGCTTTGGGCAGTGGCAGAAATTAATAGGACTTCCCGATGCCAACTCTGAGTGCAAGCCAGGACTGAGTGGGGCTGTGGCTGGGGTGGGGTGGGATCAGTGTCAACCTCTCTCCTCAATGACCTGTGGCCTTGGCAACCCGCCGAGCTCTTGCCCCCAGCCCCATCCTCTGGGCCACAGGCCTGCCCATGCCCTGCCTCTGGGGAGAGTGGATGTGGGTGGAGCTGTGCACAGTGCGGCTGCACTGTCTTGCTCGGGTGGGCTGGACCTGGGCACCCTGTGGGGACAGTAACTGGAGAAGGGGCACAGATGGCCCATGTCCTGCTCGACCTGGCCACAGCTCAGGGCTGGAGAGCAGTGTGGCTGGCGTGCTGGGTGGGATCCCCCAGGGTCCTCCGGGACGCTGGTGCTAGGCCACACCGAGGGCACTGTGAGCTTTGCCTCTTCTCATCAGTGGGTTCTCCAGTTGATTCTTCCGGGGGCCTTGAGGTGAGTTGAAAACCCGGACTTCCCTGCTATGAAACTTTTCTGCAGAGAGCAGGGTTTAGAGAAGAAGGCTCTAGTCTTTTGCTATGAGATGGGCTGACCTGGGGAAGCCAGTAAATGCTGGAAAGCTGGTGGTGAGCTTTGGATATAGCATAAGCAGGCCGTCCCTGCTTGCCAAGGCTTGCGGTGTGCACAGCGTGGGTGTCAGTCCCCGCGGGGACCGGGAGGGACGGGAGTGGAGGAGGGAGCTGCCGGCTCAGCACGTTGTGGGGTGGGGAATGATGGTGCCAGGGACCTACTGATGACCAGACAACAGTCCTGCTGTAGAGGTGGCCCTGGGTTTCTCAGATGCCTTGGGAGACAGACCAGGTGGTCGGCTGAGTTGGTGATCAAGGACCCTTGGTAGAGGCTGCATGGGGCTCAGTCTGGAGATGGGGTACCCCCGGCAGAGTGTGAGGTGTGGGTAGCAGCAAGGACTTGCCAGACCCAGGACCAGGGCTTATGGGCACCCAGGGTGTGTGGTGTGTTGGGGAGACTGGTGGGAGGAGGGCAGGGCTGCCGTCAAATGCTGAAGTGTGTGTGTGTGTGTGTGTGTCACATGTGCTGTGTGCTGTGTGGTATGTGTGGTGTATGTGGTGTGTGGTGTGTGTGACGTCTATGTGTGGTGTGTGATCTATGTGTTGTGTGTGTGTACTGTGTGTGGTCTGTGGTGTGTGATGTGTGTGGTATGTGTGGTGTGTGCTGTGTGTGTGGGATATGGGTTGTGTGTATGTGGTGTAGTGTATGTGTGGTCTGTGTGGTGTGTGTGGTATGTGTGTGATGTGGGGTGTGTATGGTGAGTGCTGTGTGGTGTGTGTAGTGTGTGGCGTCTGTGATGTGTGTGGTGTTTGGTGTGTGTGTGCTGTGTGGTGTGTAGCATGTGTGGTGTGTGGTGGGTAGTATGTAGTGTGTGTGTGACGTGTGTGGTATGTTTGGTGTGTGCTCTGTGGTGTGTAGTCTGTGTGTAGTGTGTGTATGCAGTGTGTGGTCTCTGGTAGTGTGTATGGCTTGTGTGTGGTGTGTGGTCTGTGGTATGTGTGATGTGTTGTGTGGTGTGCGTGATGTGTGGCCTGTGTGTGGTGTGTGTGTGGTAGTGTGTGGTGTGTCCTGTATGTGTGGTAGAGTGGTGTGTGGAACGTGTGGTGTGTTTGTGACGTGTGGTGTGTGTGATGTGTGTTGTGTGTGACGTGTGGTGTGTGGTGTGTGTGGTGTGCGTGTGATGTGTGGTGTGTGTGATATGTGTAGTGTGTGTGATGTGTGTGGTGTGCGTGTGATGTGTGTGTGTCTGGTGTGTGTGTATGGTGGGTGACGTGTGTAGTGTGTGTGTGTGACGTGTGTGGCGTGTGGTGTATGTGGTGTATGAAGCGTGTGTGTCTGGTGTGTATGGTGTGTGTGGTGTACGTGTGACTGAGGTGTGTGTGGTGTGTGTGATGTGTGTGGCATGTGTGGTATGTGTGGTGTGTGATGTGTGTGGTGTGTGTGGCGTGTGTGTTTGGTGTGTATGGTGTGTGTGATGTGTGTGTGACTGTGGTGTGTGTGTCACTGTGGCGTGTGTGGCATGTGTGGTGTGTATGGTGTGTGTGGTGTGTGTGTGACTGTGGTGTGTATGTAACGTCTGTGGTGTCTGGTGTGTGTGGCATGTGTGGTGTGTGGTTGTGTGTCTGGTGTGTGTGTGGCATGTGTGGTGTGCATGGTGTGACTGGTGTGTGTGGTGTGTGCAGTGTGTGTGTGGTGTGTGTGGCATGTGTGGCATGTGTGATGTATGGTTCATGCGTGATGTGTGGTTCATGCGTGATGTGTGTGGTGTGGTGTGCATGGTGTGTGTGGTGTGGTGTGCGTGGTGTGTGTGGTGTGTGTGTGGTGTGTGTGGTGTGTGTGAGTGCATGGTGCATGTGTGACGTGTGTGGTGTGTGTGATGTGTGGCCTGTGGTGTGTGTGATGTGTGTGACATGTGGTGTGTGTGTGACTGTGTGGCCTGTGGTGTGTGTGATGTGTGTGACGTGTGTGGTGTGTGTGATGTGTGGCCTGTGGTGTGTGTGATGTGTGTGACGTGTGGTGTGTGTGTGACTGTGTGGCATGTGTGGTATGTATTGTGTGTGTGTGGTGTGTGTGGTGTGTGTGTGTGGTGTGTGGTGTGTGTGATGTGTGGCCTATGTGTGGTGTGTGTGACATGTGTGGTGTGGTGTACGTGGTGTGTGTGGTGTGTCTGGTGTGTGTGGTGTGTGTGAGTGCATGATGCGTGTGTGACGTGTGTGGTGTGTGTGATGTGTGGCCTATGTGTGGTGTGTGTGATGTGTGTGATGTGTGTGTTGTGTGTGTTGTGTGTGGTGGGTGTGGTGTGTGTGATGTGTGGCCTGTGTGTGGTGTGTGTGGGTGCATGGTGCGTGTGTGACGTGTGTGGTGGGTGTGGTGGGTGTGGTGTGTGTGTGTGTCTGATGCATAAGTGGGTGCCTGATTTCTCTCTGGGAGGAGAAACCCCCGTTGTTTGGGAACTGGAGCCGTGACCCCCAGGACTGGGGCTGCACGGGGTGTCCCATCCCTCAGATCCATGTAGCCCCGGCTTTGGGCCCCTTTCTGAGCCTGCCTGTCCCTGTCCATGCAAGCGCTGGTGGCCCAGGCTGGTGTCCCGTCCTCTGGATGTTTCTCCAATTCAATCTTCCTTCCTCTTGACCCCAGTTGTTCTGCCTCAGGCCTTGATACCCTTTTCAGCTACTGAGACTTCATCCTAGTTGGCTTTGTTGCCTCTAATCTCCATCTTTTTTTTTTTTTTTTAAAGACAGAGTTTTGCTCTTTTTGCCCAGGCTGGAATACAGTGGCACGATCTTGGGTCACTGCAACCTCCACCTCTCGGGCTCAAGCAATTCTCCTGCCTCAGCCTCCCGAGTAACTGGGGTTGCAGGCATACACTGCCACACTTGGCTAATTTTTGTATTTTTAGTAGATAAGATTTTACCATGTTGTCCAGGTTGGTCTTGAACTTCTGACCTCAGGTGATCTGCCTGCCTTGGCCTCCCAAAGTGGGGGGATTACAGGCATGAGCCACCATGCCCAGCCCTCCCTTAATCTTTTTTTTAAGAGACGGAGTCTCGCTGTGTCCCAGGCTGGAGTGCAATGGTATGATCTCGGCTCACTGCAACCTCTGCCTCCCGGGTCCAAGGGATTCTTCTGCCTCAGCTTCCCAAGTAGCTGGGATTACAGGTGCCTGCCACCACTCCAGCTAATTTTTGTATTTTTAGTAGAGACAGGGTTTCACCATGTTGGCCAGGCTGGTCTCGAACTCCTGACCTTGTGATCCACCTGCCTTGGTCTCATTTGAGGTCAGGTGTTTGAGACCAGCCTGGCCAACATGGTGAAACCCCATCTCTACTAAAAATACAAAAATTAGCTGGGCATGGTGGTGGGCGCCTATAGTCCCAGATACTTGGGAGGCTGAGGCAGGAGAATCGCTTGAACCCAGGAGGCGGAGGTTGCAGTGAACTGAGATCGCGCCACTGCACTCCAGTCTGGGTGACAGAGTGAGACTCTGTCTCAAAACAAAAACAGAAACAACAAAAAAACCCAAAACCAAAAACCACCACACCCGCGCCACCTCACAGACACCACGCCTGTGCCACCTCAAACACCACGCCCGCGCCACCTCACAGACACCACGCCCGTGCCACCTCAGACACACCACTCCTG